AAAATAATTTTATTTAATATTAGGAGACCAAATTCGCCCAAACGGGACCACCATTTATTAACTTTATGTTCCAGACAATACAATCCTGGCGACCGACCTTCCTTTTTAGGCTACTAGCCGCCAAAACGTCCTTTTAAAAAACACAAAGATTTCCAATTAAAAATTGTAAAATTTTTCTAAAACTGGAACTGGTGTATACGAACGTTCTCTTGAGACCATCTAACCTTCTTGGGTGTTTCGGCTCTTTTATCTATGAGGAAGAAGCGCTGGAAAATGTAGATTAAAAAAGCATCCCCTGGTGACGATATTTAGCAATTTAAAAAAAAAAAATAATAATAATTATATTTTTTTATTCCAATGAAATCATGTTTATTTTATTTCCTTTCACTTTTCATAGACACAATGTAGTGACCCTTCTTAAACACTTGGCAGATTATTCATCTTTTATTAGGTTAGGTTTAATTATATTTTTATTTAAATTTAAGCATTGAGTGAGAATATTCAAATTCTGTGTTAAGGCCTTTGATATTGTCAAAGGCCTTAACACAGAATTTGAATATTCTTATAGCACACCACTATTATTAATTTTTTTCACACACTCCTAAACCATCAAGCGTGTATCACCACCTGGAGTACATGCTTAATGGTTTAGGGCAGTGGTTCTTAACCTTTTTATACTCGCAGCCCACAAATATTTCATAATTTTTTTCTGATTTCCCATTTTTTTAAATAATAATTTATATTTGTTAAATTATCTATAATAAATTGATTTTTTTATTATTGCTTTATTTTTAAAATTTCAAGCATTAATAGTTTCTTAGAATTACTTTGGAATTAAAGAAGTAAATACTGCGGTGTAAGTAGCATATTTGCATATATTTCTTCTGTACTAACAAAGTTGTATGTAGGAAGAAATAAATAAAGTTTTTGTATTTAGTTTTTTTTATCTTTCTTATTTCACTTTTCAATACGATATTTGGTTATACATCAATTTTCTTTTTATTATATTCTGAAGGAAATTTTGCATAATTTGGCGGCACCCTGAAACTTTTTATGGACCCCAGGGGGCCGCGGCCCCCTGTTAAGAAACACTGGTTTAGGGGTATGCAAAAAAATTCCCCTGATTGGGAATTGCTGTATTTATTAAAACGTTTGTCTAAATTTAAATTAGGTTCATAACCTGAATATTTCTTCTGAGTATTCTTTCACAAATACCAACTAAATGTAACAAAAGTATTCCACACAATTTAATATTATTCGTGCAATATTATTATTTTCACAAGAGATGAATAAAACTACATATTTTTATTATTTTTTATCAACTTTTATTTGTATCTAGCCATATTTAAATTTATTGAACACTCAATTTAATATAGGAAAGGTATTCAGTATTTAATTAAAATTTTCAGTTGTTAATGTATAATTTTTGATGAAAAATGAATAGTTCATTAACAATTTACTTTTATTTGTAAGTGTTTATAGTATAACTAATTAATAAAAAGTATTTATTATTAATTTAATACTACAAACAGTTTGAAAAGTTATCATCCCTGACCCATTTTATTTTTATAGAAAATAACATCTGTAGTTATTCTTTGACGAAATTATAACCTTGATGGTGTTTTATGTTTTACCTTGATATACAAATTGTATAGTTTGATAAAAAGCAATAATCTTTTATTTAAAAAAAAATTATTGTATATATTTTTATTAGTGAATTTTTTTTTCTTTTTTTGAAATTGTTACCTAGAATTGTAAAATAATGATTGCATACACTAATATGAAGAAAATTATGAATACAACAGTGAAATAGTTTGTTGGTGTTAAATTTGCAGAAACAGATTTAATAAAATACATCAAATGTTTTCTGACATTTTCAAATTATTATAAATGTTTCTTTCCTTATTTAAAAAATTTTATGATAACTTTAATCATAAAATTTTTTAAATAAGGAGCGAAACATTTACAATAATTTCAATATGAAATATCAGAAAACATTTGAAGTATTTTATTAAATATGTTTTTTTTAATAAATTTAACTCCAACAAACTGTCTTATTATCTTCATAATTATTACTTGGAAAAATTATGAATAAAATCATGTAATTATTTTGAGATAAATATGGAACTATTTCATAAGAGATGAAAGTAAATTGAATGAATTCATTTAAATTCAGGGCCTATGGAATGATAACACTCAGTCACTAGTTGGTTGTGGATTTGAGCTTGACCATGGGCTGGTTGCATGGGAGTGTTTTGGATATATCTGACAACTAAATATTGGCCAGTTTTCCGTAGAAATCCTCCTGAAAGGCATTCCCTTGGCAGATTGCCCAAGTCTTATATTGCCATATTCTGTCAATTCTTTCAAATTTGTAAATTTGAAAGAATTCATTCAATATAACTGAAATTTATGTTTTCATCATAAAAACTATTTCACTTATATTTTATCATTATTNGGTTATACATCAATTTTCTTTTTATTATATTCTGAAGGAAATTTTGCATAATTTGGCGGCACCCTGAAACTTTTTATGGACCCCAGGGGGCCGCGGCCCCCTGTTAAGAAACACTGGTTTAGGGGTATGCAAAAAAATTCCCCTGATTGGGAATTGCTGTATTTATTAAAACGTTTGTCTAAATTTAAATTAGGTTCATAACCTGAATATTTCTTCTGAGTATTCTTTCACAAATACCAACTAAATGTAACAAAAGTATTCCACACAATTTAATATTATTCGTGCAATATTATTATTTTCACAAGAGATGAATAAAACTACATATTTTTATTATTTTTTATCAACTTTTATTTGTATCTAGCCATATTTAAATTTATTGAACACTCAATTTAATATAGGAAAGGTATTCAGTATTTAATTAAAATTTTCAGTTGTTAATGTATAATTTTTGATGAAAAATGAATAGTTCATTAACAATTTACTTTTATTTGTAAGTGTTTATAGTATAACTAATTAATAAAAAGTATTTATTATTAATTTAATACTACAAACAGTTTGAAAAGTTATCATCCCTGACCCATTTTATTTTTATAGAAAATAACATCTGTAGTTATTCTTTGACGAAATTATAACCTTGATGGTGTTTTATGTTTTACCTTGATATACAAATTGTATAGTTTGATAAAAAGCAATAATCTTTTATTTAAAAAAAAATTATTGTATATATTTTTATTAGTGAATTTTTTTTTCTTTTTTTGAAATTGTTACCTAGAATTGTAAAATAATGATTGCATACACTAATATGAAGAAAATTATGAATACAACAGTGAAATAGTTTGTTGGTGTTAAATTTGCAGAAACAGATTTAATAAAATACATCAAATGTTTTCTGACATTTTCAAATTATTATAAATGTTTCTTTCCTTATTTAAAAAATTTTATGATAACTTTAATCATAAAATTTTTTAAATAAGGAGCGAAACATTTACAATAATTTCAATATGAAATATCAGAAAACATTTGAAGTATTTTATTAAATATGTTTTTTTTAATAAATTTAACTCCAACAAACTGTCTTATTATCTTCATAATTATTACTTGGAAAAATTATGAATAAAATCATGTAATTATTTTGAGATAAATATGGAACTATTTCATAAGAGATGAAAGTAAATTGAATGAATTCATTTAAATTCAGGGCCTATGGAATGATAACACTCAGTCACTAGTTGGTTGTGGATTTGAGCTTGACCATGGGCTGGTTGCATGGGAGTGTTTTGGATATATCTGACAACTAAATATTGGCCAGTTTTCCGTAGAAATCCTCCTGAAAGGCATTCCCTTGGCAGATTGCCCAAGTCTTATATTGCCATATTCTGTCAATTCTTTCAAATTTGTAAATTTGAAAGAATTCATTCAATATAACTGAAATTTATGTTTTCATCATAAAAACTATTTCACTTATATTTTATCATTATTTTCTTTTATAAGCAACAACTTAAATATAATTCTGTCATTCAAATGTAAAATATAAAAAATATATTTATTTGATGCTGGTTAAGATGATGATGTAAGTAGAAAATTACTGCTTAATATGATATTGGAGTTTCCTATTATATTGGTCTTAGTTCTAGTTCTATATATACCTATGTAATTGGGCACACAGGGCAGCAAGTATTCTTCAGTCTATACGATTTACTGCAATTTGTTTTACTTCATCCTAATATCCCAATCAATATCAAGAAGCTCCGGATTTTCTATAAATATGTTGTGCCAAGTTCTTGGTCATTTCTTTCTTTTGCCTTTTATTGCTGCCTATTATATGAGCAAATTTAGCTAATTTAAACTATTAAGACTATCAAATGATAACAAATTATAATATCACCAAATTACTGAATTTCTATAATAATCCAATGGATGTCAGCAAATTAGTATTAACAATAACTAAATCAATAATGTAGTTATTCCAAACATCAATTAAATCTGTTCTACAATATGAGCCTATTCTTAGGAATAGATTTCTTGATAACTGTTTATCTTCCTTGATAATGATGTAACTCTTGGTTAATTAAAAATTGTTTGTAGTAAATTATAATATATATTTAGTAATTTAGTACAGTAATGATAAAATAATAAAACTATGGGATGTCACTATATTATGAAATTCAATTAGGGTGTTTAATATATAGAATATGAATAATTATATTTTTTTTTTAATTTTATTTAATTCTGTACAGATAGTTGCTGTTATAACATAAGAAGAGTTTTTATTATTAATTAATAATCAGTTTAATTTGTATTTACATTTAAAATTAATTATGGCACATTATAAGTTCTTAATATATTATATCTTAATTAATATTATTATTGATATGATTTTATATTTCATTCTTTTTCTTACTTATTACTTTTATTTAAATGATATTAAAGAATAATATACTATTATTCTAAAATGAAAGCTTATTTATTTCATAAATAAAATTAATGATTTTAAAATTTGTTTAATATCAGTTTTTAAAAATCATCTTAATTTTGGTTTTAGGAACTGGCAGAATTACATCATGAAAATGTAGTAGCCTTATTGGATTGCAAGGTAACTGTTATTATTTATAAGCATATTTTTATCTGTATAAATTTTTACAAAGATTTTAATGTCATATTTTAATAAAATGTTAAAATATATATGCTTTCAACAAAAACTGTGAAATATACATGAAAACAAAACTTTCACTGTTTTGAATTTTTTTTTCATATATGGAACTAATACTGGATACATCTAAAAGGATCTAAATCCCAGCAAAAGGAATGTAAATTTAGTGAGAAACTAACATTTTACACAGCTTTCATCAATCATTATCAGGTTACAAACTGTTCTAACACATACAAATCAAAGAACAAAATTTTTTAAAACATGGAACTGGCTTCTGATTAATCAGTGACGCAAGCATGAATTTGGATGATAAGCAATTAGAAAATTCATTTAGTGGATTTTAAAAAGAGGCCCTCTACACTTGTGAATGTGTTATTGTTCTTGTACAGTAATTCATTGTCACCATTCCTGCATGCTTCGTATATCTTCAGTTTTTCTAAGTGTTAGTTTTGCTGGAGTGATGTATAAGATGTGCCTTGTCCAGTGCACATCACCTATAGGAAAAGCTACCAAAGTGGTTGTTGTGTGATCCTTTATGATTGATGTTAGGTGTTCTTTTAATTGAAGGCTAAACCAATGATTTGTAGCCCCTGTGTATTTCAGCTATTGGACAACTTTGTTGTCTGACATAGGAATGGAATAAACTCCTGGAAGTTGACATTTATCACAAGGGTCCTTAACATTTCTGAGTAAGTTTCTTCTCTAAGCAATTTAGATGTTAGTTGTTTTCATGGTCTCCCAGAAGATGCATCTGAAGTGTTCATTATAATTTACTGACTTGTAAGTTTTAACTTCCATCTTGTGGTCGGTATGTGGCAGAGACATTGTATCTGTTAATTATATCCTTGATTATTTTGGGATGGGTAACCTGATGATCATTGCTAAAAGCTGTGGAAAACATTAGTTTCTAATGAGAAACTAATGTTTTCCATTAGAAATTTCAAGAATTTTAGGAAATTTACATTCCTTTTACTGGATTTTTGGCTTTTTTGTGTATATTATACTTTTATTTTTCTTTAAAGTAATTCTTCATTTTTTTATACTGCATTTTAAATGTTGTTATGACACATGATAGTCCCAACAAAATAAATAAAATTTAATTACAAAAGAAAAAAATAGTTGTTTAAAATATTCATACATTTTAATAAACATTTTGTAAAAACAATGTACAACAATATAAAACATGTTTTAAATATTTAAGAAAAAGTAAAACTGGGTTTTGAATTTCATCTTGAAAATATTAAAGAAATTTAAACTTAAAGATGCATTTAAAAGAAATTTTTTCTTATTAATGTTTGGGATGATGATAAAATTTAATTTTCTAGAAATTGTCAAAAATATTATTATATTTCTGAAGTTGTTATTGTTTATTCAGTGTGGAATATTGTAATTAGAAGTGGTAATTCTAGTGCTTCTAATTACAATATTCCATATTGAATAAACAATATATAATTAGATATAATAAGATTGATTATTAGGATTGAAAGACAAAAGATTGATTTTTAAAGAAAAATACAAAAGAAGTTTTAAAACACTTTTATAAAGATATTTAATATATTTTCAGGAAACTGCACATCATGTTTATTTAGTAATGGAGGTAAGCTTTATAATTTATTTTCAGTAATATAATTTAATCAGTATTAGTAAACTAAATTAGTTGTATTTAATTAAATTAGATATTAGATTTTACATTTTAAAACATGGAATCTGTTTAAAGTTTAAATAGAGGAAATCCCTGTTTTTATATTAAGTTATGTTTTTGAAAATTTATAATAATTGGATCATTATTATTTATGAATGCAACATTGAACTAAGATGCATATTTATATTTATTGTACTTGGAGTAATGTTGTGAAATGTTCTCATTTAAATATATATCATAAAATTAAATTTGTAATTAAATTATAATTAATTGTTTAATTATATTGTAAATATAATTAAAAACTTACTTTTTGTATTATTATTTATGTAAATAATATTTTAATATTTTAATAATAATTT